TCTGAAATTATTCCCCGCCCCCCCCCCCTCATTATTATTCAAATTAAATTTGTTGAACAAAATATGTTGAAAAGCAGAAATAGTTCTGACTCACTGTGAATCATGAGAAGAAAGATCAGCGGAAGAGTAGGAGCTATTCTGATTGACATCATTATAGCAACACCTGCAACACAATCAATGTACTGTGCCTTATTTTAGCTTCTGTGAAGGTGAATGTCATGAAATCCATCAAGAACTACATCAGGCCATTGTGAGATTTTTGCCATTAGAGTAAAATAAGGGCTCTAAATATAAAAGTTTTTATTTTATCCATATTTACATTTACATGTAATCATTTGGCAGACGCTTTTAACTTAGGTTGTAAGTTAAAAGCAGCTTTATTAGGGCAAAATAAGCAATCAAACAAAAAACAAACAAAAAGCAGCAATATATGTTGTGACAAGTCCCAGTTAGTCTAACACCAAACATGTAGCAAGCAAACAGAGAAATTCTCTTACCGTTTTTCAGGGATGAAGCGATACAGTAAGAACAGAAGTTTACAGTCATTAGATGATTTCTCTTGAAGATGAATGCTTTATCTTCCCCTTATCAAGTACATTTTACTCTCAGACTCTTCTTAAAAACCAGCTTTGTTTAAATCCATTCAAAGAGCATTTTGATAATGCAAAAAAAAAAAAAAAAAATATATCTCATCATAAGAAGGACAGGGCAAATGAAGCAGCATCCGCCAGTGCATGAAAATTAGTGAAACAGAGGGGAAAAACGAGGAAGTGAAAACAGATGGGAGAGCAACATGCAAAGTTTTTCACATTTTCACAGCAACTTTCAGATGCAGTGGAGTTTTTCATCTCTCAGACAGGATTGTCCACAGATACTGAGTTCCTTCACAGTGAACAAATGCGATCGTGTGATCTTTTTTTTCTTTTCTTCTTGAAGTTAATTCAGTGAGTTTTGTTGGAGTTTTTAAGATCATAAAATTCTGTTTTACACTAAGTTTCTCTTCCTCTTTTGTGAGTTGATAAGAGGCCTGTGAACTAAATTAAACCTTTATGCAAATCCTGCAGGTGAACCGACAGTCTCTCTCAAAGCTTCACGGGAACTCAGTACCACTCAGATACCATCCATCATCTATCTATCTATCTATCTATCTATCTATCTATCTGTCTGTCTGTCTGTCTGTCTATCTATCTATCTGTCTGTATAACTAACTGTCTGTCTATCTGTCTGTCTGTCAAGTCAAGTCACCTTTATTTATATAGCGCTTTTACAGTTTTTCTCAGTCGCTTTGGTGCATTTCTCGAATCATCTTTAATATTTGCAAAGAAGTATGTGCATTTCTCAAAACAATTTGTACAAACAGCACCACACAATGGATTACCTGCAAAAGCCTGTAACCTATCTATCTGTCTGTCTGTCTGTCTGATTGTGTTATGATGTGAATCAGGCCTGCCTGCACCAGCAGTCCAGTGCTGTAAACACATTCTCATCAAATGAAGAAATGTATGTCAATAACTAGAGAAGTGCAAAGAAGGTTCACCAGCAGTTGTTGCAAAGACGCAGGAGAAAAACAACGATTCACAAAACTTATAGCATTAAAATTGGACATGCTTGCAAGCTACTGACCTTAAACAAACAAACAAATAAATCCAATAGTTCGATTTTATGATTTCTTTTAAATACACAGTTATTATAGTAAATTATTCACCACTGCAATCATCTGTTCTGACGATTTTTATTTGTCAATGATTCATTTACAGAATATTGATAAATGAATCAACAAATCAATCTGGCTAAAGTTTGATTTCTCAGTTAAAGTATTTATTTAACATCATTGAACATTACAAGTATTCATGATAAGAGTAACACTATTTGCCAACAGTATTTGCAGTTTTCAGATCTACAGTGAAATACAGAACAACAGTTCTTTCTGGTCCTCGGACCAGACTGGCTGATAAGAGATGCGATATTAGAGTGATATCAGAACTCCAACAGCCGTTTCACAGTTTGTAATCGTATCACTCTGCTTGTGGTACTTCTTACAGCGAGTGTCATGGCGGACGCCCAAATCCAGTATCATTTTAGAAATATTACTGTTTTTGTGTCACAGAATGTAGCTTTAAGAGATTTTCAGGCAAGAATGTACTTTTTTTTGATATAAAAATAGTTTATAAATAGTTTGTTAATAAAGATAACATCTATTTGAAAATTTGCTTTGACATTTTCAGACATGTGAGCTCCAGATGGTCAGCGGCCGTTCTACGCTCATGAAGCCGCCCGAGAGCGCCTCACCTCGGCCAGATCTTCTAGAATATGATGCTGGCTCAGATGTCTCTGTAGTGGTTAAACATGATGTAACACCGAGTTGAAATGTTCTACAGCCGAGATAGGAAAACTGTGTGGTGGTAATAATGCACTGGAGACAAGAAGATGGCGTATTTCCCCGAGTTTAAAGGTGCAATAGGTGATTGTCTTCAGAAACATTTTTTGTTATGCTTGTTGAAAGTCTCTTCACATCCCGATAGCAATCATTAAGTTAAGTGGTCTAAATTTATTTATCTGTATTTATATATTCTGTGGAAGGCGTAGGACCAAGAAATGTTCATCCAATCAAAACGCTTGGTCTGAGCGTTTTAATTCGCTTTCCTACCTGCCTGTCAACGTATATATCTGCATACCTCTGCGCACCCTGTTAGCGCAGACAGGATACGTCATCAGCGCGTTCACGCACGCTGTGCAGACAGAGCGAGAATGGCAGACAAACATCAACAACCCGATCTTCCTTCCTGGTATTGTAGTACTTTTAAAGTTTTCTCATCAGTGAATGACACATGATGTAGCCCAGCGGTTCCCAGTTCCAGTCCTCGCGCCCCCCGCTCTGCATATTTGCATGTCTCGCTAAGTTAACACACCCGATTCAGATAACCAGATCATTAGAAGTGAGCTACGTGCATGAACTGTGTTCCGATCAATGTGATCCCTACACAGTGTTCATTGCTCCCTACTCCCTGAGCAGGGGATTACTTCTCTTCGGAACATGGGCTGGAATTGAGAACGGCTGATGTAGCCTATTGCAGTAATGTTGTCTCTGGTATTCTGGTCTGTGAGCGTCTATGCGTTCAGGGGGCGTGGCTTTGGACGGCGATTGCAGGGAGGGTGGGAAGTTCGCTTTCAGTGCTATCAGGCTAAAGTTAGCATTTTCCAAGATCTACTGCACCTTTAATAAAATGGCCTCAAGCGCCACCGATACATTCGTCCACATTCATTAATCTTTGCAAATTTATAAAAAAAAAAAAACTAAAAGGATTCCATTGCATAAGTATTCATACCCTTATCTGGGACAGTTGAAATTTAGCTCAGGAGCATTCATATTGCTTGTAGATGTTACTACACTTATAGTGAAGTTAACCTGTGGCAAATTCAGTTGAATGGGTATGATTTGGAAAGGCACACACGTCTTAATAAAAGGTCTAGAAGGACAAACATCACTGCAACACTCCACCAATCCAGTCTTTATGGCAGTGTGGCCAAACTCAATCCTCTCCTCAGTGAAGATATATGAAAACTCACTTTGAATTTGCAAAAAAGCACCTAAAGGACCCTCAGACTCTGAGAAACAAGATTCTCTGGTCTGATGAACTTCAATTCTAAGCATCATGTTTGAAGGAAACCAGGTCCGCTCATCACCTGCAGAGTACCACCCCAAAAGTAAAGTGTGCTGGTAGCAGCAAGAATCAAACAAAAAAAGACTTGAGGCTGTTAAGGTGCTTCAGCTAAATATTTAGTTAAGGGTATGAATACTTATTTCAGTTTTTTATTTTTAATAAATTTATGAAGTTGTGACAATTCTGTTTTTGCTTTGTCAGTATGGTGTATGGAGTGTAGATTGATGTGGAAAAAAAGTAATTTAGAGAAGCTTATCATAAGGCAGCAACATAACAAAATGCAAAAAAAATGAATATTTTCGCAAGGCACTGTAAGTCCTTTTAGCATCATTTAGTTGCATACAGTATATACATGGAAAGGCAGTTTCTGTGCCATTCTGTGGACGTAAGGACATGTTCTGTGAAGACCAGAGAGGTTAAAAGGTCTCCTAAGGAATCTCAGTCTGGTTCTTGTCTTCTAGGTGGGGGAAACCACCAAACAAAGTCTCCAATAACGGTTTCCCTCATGTGATGGTCATGATGATGTCTCTTCAATCATTAATCTTGGTTATTTGCCCCAAATTTGACAATCTCCTTTCTGAGTTGGAATTGTCAATAAGTGTTCTTTTGTTTAATGTTGAAAGCTGTTTGAAGCTACTAGTTTGTTAGGCTCACTTCAGACTCGTGGCGCAAGGATCTGATTTACGAACATCCTGTTGCCTTGGGCCTCTCTGTGGAATTCAGCTCTTTGGGTTGTTCAACACCAATCTGATCAAATCTTAAAGTTTCTGATTCGCTCTGATATCCTACATGACCCAACACATTGTTTATTAAACAAAAGTAAGCGAAACAAGATTGTGAAATAATGATGTTCATTAATATGATCATGAACTGCAAAGGCACAAAACATGACAGACAGATTTGGTTTCTACAACTTTGGTTTCTAAAAGCTAAACTTCATGTGAAGTTCTTGATAAGTCAGAACAGGTCGAACAACACATTGAACACATCGCTTCAGGACAGCAACCGTTTTTTTGGGGGCTCTAAAAAGGACATTTTTTTTTACAGGTATGTATTTAAAGAATGTCAATCTTCACAGACATGATAAACATCTCAGTCAACAGGCTATTCTGAAGATTTCTGGTGACTAATGCTTCTTTAGTTTACCTGTTTAAATCAGCTAATGCAACACTACGGTCATATTAGTTTGTGCTTTTAGTTTGTTTTCGTTCGTTTCCTTAAAAAAAAATAATCATGCTAATCATAAGATTGGAATATTCAACTGTGGATTTGTTAAATTGACTTTACCTTCATTGTCGTGTTTGTGTATATCTTGCAACACAGTTGTGTGACACACAGCTCCTTAAAACTTTGTAACTACTTAATTCAATTAGAACTTAAATATGCAAAATGGTAGTTTTCTAAATTATTTTGTGTTGGGACCACCAACAATAATATATGTTATAAAAACATTATTTCTGAATGTTCGCTGAATGTTCAAAATGTCCAGTTTTTAAATATGCATTACATTACGTTGATTCGTTTGGTTATATTAAAGCTATGTAATCTAAATGAATGGACATTTTATTTTATTAAATACTTGAATATTGAATTTAGGCTTAAACAGTGGTATATACCCTCATTCACTTTAATTCATGTATCACTGAACACAGTGTACCATAAGCTATGTACCATTTAGGTATTAATATTTACACTTTAGGTACTAATATGCAGATTTAAGAAACTAAAATGCACTCTTTAGGGGTAAATAAGGAACAAAGGTATGTCTTTTGAAAAGGTATATGCCAATTACAGCTTGTGTATAAGTTCACAGTACTAGCCCTTCTCTGGAGCCATATTCCGCCACACGTTTTTGTCATGGTTCTCTGTGCTATATTTCTCTTGCAATAAAAGAGTAAATATGTTGACACTCCTGTTATTGTGTTTATGCTTTTTTTTTTTTTAACTGACAACTGCAGAATTTTAGCTCTGTGAGCAAGAATATCTAAACTAATCTACATTAATCTAAAATAGAAATAAAACAAAGCCAAGCTAAAGTGCTATTACTGAGGACAGCCATGTTTGTTCAACTGCATATCATGTGGGAACGCCTCGTTTTCAGAGCTGTACAGACATGTTCTTCACTCACAAGCTGCCATAAAATAGGAGAACAACAGACATGGCCAGGCCATCTAAGAAGAAATCAAGTGCACCAGGTAATCATGAGTTTATGGACATTATTACATTTGTCATATTACGGGTCAAAATCGTTTCATGTTTTGAAGGATTTCGAAGTTGATCATTTCCATGTATTATCAGTCTGCAGGTTAAGACCATATGCAGTACTACAGGCTTGTATTCTTTGGACATTGTTCTGTTTGGTAAGTTTGTGAGACATTTTGAAGCAGATGTTAAAATAATGATCAAATAAATAAGCATTTTATTTCTGCCTAAAATAACGATAAAATTAATAAGATCTTCATTTCTGCCTTACAAGTTAACAAGACTGTGTGGCATTCAACTCAATTTGAATTGAGAAATGTATTTTTAAATTGCAATTTAATGTATAAATCTGAATTTAAGCATCATTAGGAAACAAATGCAGCATTTGAATGTTTACAAATTTGTGTAACTGCTGTAATTGTGGTTTTAAAGTAAAATAGGTTTTAGCAGGAATCAATGAAGCTGTATGTTTGATATAGGCCTACGCCTGCACTTTTTGAAACATTTGATATGTTTTGTTTGTTTGTTTTTCTAAGCTCTTAATTACATTGCACAGTTTGGTCTTTATTTGTAGGCTAAATATTAGAAAATCACGAGATTATTTCTGTTTAGCACACAGGCTTCGCCGGTGTGCCAAACAGACGGAGCACAAGGGAACAGCGTAATGATTTTGACTAAATACTTTTTTTTTCTTGTTAGACATTAAACGTGGGTGTAAATGAATCTGTTTTCTGAAGTTAGGGGGAATGCTAGTCCACTACGAAACTCCAGCAAGAAGTGTGACAGATGATCCTTCAACTGTTTATCTTCAGGATGTGTCACTTTACATTATCAAGCACTGTACATTCATTAGGAACAGCTGAGGTGGTAAAATGTGGTTTAGTCTGAAATAAACAAATAAGATATCAGAATCCGTCTGTAAACAGTAAACATACACATTTACCTTAGTATACATCTTTTTATGCGTTAATATTAAACACAACACGAGAAATGGCGTTAAACATATGCACGCAAATCATCACTTCTCCACATAAAATATGACAGATAAATAAAGATAAATGAACTTATATTCATGCACGCACATTTACCACTCATAAAAGGCAGGCAGAGAACGAAACTGATAGTAAGCTGGAACCGCTCTGGCGAAACTGCTACAATAGCTTTCAGTCACGTGACCGGCTCGAAGACCTGGAGGGCAAAACATCCACAGAACTGCAGGACAACCCTGTAATTTTCCATCTGTTTCACAGCCGCAAATATTTAGATCACCTCTCAAAAGAATAAAACAAATGTATGTGAACAAAATGCAAGTTTTGGCCATTTGCAATCCATATTAATCACCTGCGGCAAAATTTCAATCATTAAACAGTGCGACAAAACGTTGAAAAAACACTTAAAGTGCCTTAATATATTTAAAACGGTAATATTCTCTATATTAATGATTCATAGTTTACATAGGCAAGCAGATGAGGCTGGAATATGAACGCAATCCGTTTAATGGTTCAGTGTTTTCCTTCACAGTAAAATCCTGAGTGTTAAATTAACACTGCTTGGAGCATATATGGTACCACTCTAAAAGTGTGTTAAAGGGGTGCTATTATGCTCTGTTACAAAGTCTTGATTTTGTTTTGGGGGTGTACTAGAACAGGCTCTCATACTAGGTTGTTCGAAAAACACATTATTTTTCACATATTTTACATTGGTCGATCGTGTCAAAAAGCCAACAACACACGCTTATCCATCTGCGCCACTGGAGCTGATGAGTCACATCCACTTTTAACTAAATGTAAATAGACATCCCGTATTTTTTATTCCATAGTAAGGGCAATTCATACAATACATTTAAACTGAGCTACTTTAATACCATCTCCGAACTTTCTACCACGACTCTGCTGTTCTTCGGCTGGTTCTTCCTGTATATGTTGATTGACAGATGTCTCGTCCAGTCAGCGGTGAGTAATCCCAGACCAATGGCGCTGTCTCAAACTATACCTACCTCTTCCGGTTTGTCTGATTTGTCATTGTGCTTTCTGACTTGTTAATTTGTTTTCGGATTAGTCTTTGTTTTTTCTGACTTGTTATTTTGTTTTCGAATTTGTCATTGTGTTTTCTGACTTGTTATAATGTTTTCTGAATTGTTGTTGTGCTTTCTGAATTGTTATTTTGTTTTTTAGACTTGCATTTGCGTTTGTAATTTTTTTTTTTTTTTTTCAGAATTGTGATTTGTTTAGCACTTCTCGGCCACCGTATAGGACCCCTTTAAAATAACACTGAAGCAGTGTTAAAGTTAATGAGATAATTATCTGAATCACTGAAGAAAAGAGAAACACAAGAATTACAACTGACTTTAGTCACAGCCTTAACTTTTTCAGTGTTAAAATACATTCTATCCCAGCTTACAGGTGCAGTAAGTGATTTCAGCATTGTGCTTTTCCATTCTTCATGTTTTCTTTGGCTGCATTCATCAGTCGACTCTAACATTCTTTTAGAGCTCCTGCAGGATTCAACCTTATTTTCTTCATGCATGGGGAATACATAGCCTAGTAGCCATGCATGAAGGAAATAAGGTTGAATCCCAGGAGCTCTACAAGCATGTTAGAGTGATGAATGCAGCCAAAGAAAAAACGAAGAATGGAAAAGCACAATGCTGAAATCATTTACTGCACCTGTAAGCTGGGATAGAATGTATTTTAACACTGAAAAAGTTACAAACTTCAGCTTTAAGTACTCTCATAATTAGTAGTTGGGAAGTGGATGGCACGTTTGACAAGCAGCAACTTGCTGTTTGTTTTTGATTTGTTGTATAAAGGAAACTTTTTACTTGATGCTTTTTAACCCAGCCCATTCACAGTTTGTGCATGATTTCGACAAACGCCTACAGACCTATAACTTTTCTAGTATTATCCAGATAGTATGTGTACCTACAATGAACATTAAAGGTGCCATATCATGAAAATCTGACTTTTCCAGGTTTTAAGTGCTATAATCAGGCAAGAGAGCAGAGGATTTATTGATTTATTTACTGTATATTGCTGCAGATACACACAGATCTAAAATAAACATACAATTTATTTCCCAGCTGGTACCTTTACAGACATAACCAACTGTTTTTGTAATTCATGTGTGTCTTCAACATAAACTTGTGTGTGAATGAGAACTTAGTTTAGTACTCGCATGCTGTGACAGCCGCTTTCTGTCCGTGTGCTTCGGATATGTGCTCTCAGAAAACCATATATCAGAAGTTTAAACTCATATGATTTAAAACACGTGATTTCAGCGCGATAAACATCATAATCAGAACCAAAACAGATGTTTTTAGCAGGTCCAAGCTGTAATGACGCAGCTCTATTCTGGGAAAGGGAGCGGGGAGCAGCAGCTCATTTGCATTTAAAGAGACAGGCCCGAAAAAACAGCTTGTTTCTGCTTCCACTCAAAATAGGCATTTTCAAAATGATATAATAAATGATCTGTGGAGTATTTTGTGCTTAACTTTAAAGACACATTCTGGGGACACCAGAGACTTATATTACATATTGTAAAAAGGGGCATAATATGTCTCCTTTAAACATTTGCACATAGAAATAAATGTAATTTGGTGTGAATGATATCCTGGTTCTCTCTCAGGCTCTATGGGCATTGAATGGTGGGATCCACATCAAACAAATTCAGCCCGCCAGACCTAAACCAGTTCCTCAAAATAACAGTTCATCCATAATATCCGCGTTTGACATGGGAATCAGTGATGAGGAGTGGGGAAGACTACAGAAGGCTATTGACTGGCCTATTCCAGATCAAGAAATCACTCATCTGAATCAGAGCACAAGTCCAGTCCACTCAACTTTCTCTATTGTGGGACTCAAAGAGAGTTACAAAGTGGGAGAAAAGATCTCTGTTGCTATCACAGCCAGAGACCACAACAAGAACCTGAAAAGATATGGAGGAGATTTTTTCAAAGCAAAACTTTTCAATGCAGAGCTAAAGGTGTGTTATATGATAATTTATATTTTTTTAAATACATTTTTTAGTATAAAAAATAAATATAGTGTTTCACTTGCATTAATTGTTGATTTATTAGCACAATATTACATATTATGTTTACATTTAAAAGCTTTAAAAATGTATTTGCCAACAGACATTAGTTTTGTGCATTACACTTGTTCTTTTCCGTTCTTCTTGAAGGCGAGTGTGTACGGGGAGGTTGTGGATCATCGTAATGGGACTTACTCTGTTGCTCTTCTTCTGCCCTGGGAAGGTCAGGCACAAGTTCCTGTTCGTCTTGAGCACTCCAGCGAGGTTGTGCAGATTCTTAAAAAATACAGGGAGTCTTCATTCCCACGCAGCCACTATAATGGCTACTTTGAAGGGCCAGGACTCAATAAAACTAGGGTCCATGAAGTAGTAGAATGTAATCTTAAGTGGGGTGCAGATGGAAGCTGGATGAAAGGCGACTGCTGCTGTGAGTATAAGGATATAAGAACAGAGACGGTATGGCAGTGTGAGAGACCAAAGGAACTTTCCTGTGACAAACTGGTTCATCACTCATACGGACGTTTGGAAAGCCCATTACATCTTTTTGAGCAGCAGCTTTTTACAAAGTAATGACTCAAAATAAATTCCAAAATAACTGTTGAATTGTAAAACAAACAAAGAAAAGTGTACAAAATGTGTGTCTGTTTTTTTCTCCACAGGAATTTAACAAATGTTGCTATTAGTGGAGACAAAAAAATCATAAATGTCCTTCCCAACACTGCATCCATTGGTATGTTTAATGGTCTCTGAACATTCCTGTTTGATAAAAAAAAAGAAAAGAAATAATGGCTCTTTTTTTTCAATGGCAAACCACAATTAGGCTTGAGTTCTTCTTTTTGTTTATTGTTTGCAAATTGGTTTATGGCATTAATATGTGTCATTGTTCACACATTGAATTTGTCGCACATACAAGTGGCGTTTCAGCAAATGAAATATTTAAAGGGGTCATGAACTGCCTTTTGTTATTATTTTTGTACTATTCTCTGAGGTCCACTTATAATGTTGTAAATTTTTTACATAAAAAAAAACATCATTTAAAAGTAATAGGCTATTTTCTGAGCTGGTTTTGACCCCCCTCATCAGAACACTCTGTTTGAATATGGGTGGCAGAATGTAGACACGGAAGTAAATGCCCACTGCTATAATTGGCTAACAGTTGTGTATGTTTGACAGTTTACGTCCTTCACAGATAGACGCATAAACGCTCAGTACATATCAAATGATCTGTAATAACAGACAAAGCAATAGTGACCACATAATAAGACCAGTGACCACATAATAAAAAAAGGTACTCTCACTTGTGTGTTGCGACATTACTGTCGAATCCAATATCTTCATTAAAAGTTCATCCACTCTTTCCTAACATTGGGATCAGAAGGAAGGCAATGCACAGACTGTGTTTTTCCACAACTTGCCAATATATAGCTTCTGGTTGTCTTCGGAGCATCTTTATCGTTTGGTTTCTGCATAGACATGCGTTCGCCTCTCTCGTTATTTACACGTGAATCAGTGGGCGGGGCTAAACAGGCCACGATGTAGAAGCAGTCTTTGTGGACATACACATCTTCTGCGGTGGCGGTGTTTAGCCACAGTATTACATCTTATGGCACTTTTCCACTGCATGGTATGACTCGGCTTGGCTCAGCTCGGTTTGTGCTGTTTAGTACCGCTTTAGAGTGGGCAGGATTATACACATCGCCCCATCAAGCTCTCGCTGGATCCGCTCCTCGGCTATCGATGAGAGGAACGCTGTACTTCCTCAACAAACCGCGAAACAGCCTTTCTTTGGTTGTTAAAAAAGGTGCGCTCATTCAAAACATTTGCATTCTTTCAAAAAAAGTTGTGTTCGATCCTTTGCTGGCTGTGCTGATTTAAATCTAGCGGGTCTGGGGTGCGTTTCCCAAAAGCAACTATGGTCACAAGTTCCGTCGTTACCATTAGAGTTCAATGGAACTTACGACCATAGTTAGCTAATGATGCTTTTGGGAAACGCACCCTTGGTGTCTCATGTCGCAAGTTCAATGACACAGGTAGTGACAATTCTCTCCCGCCAATCAGGGAACGGTAGTGCTTCCATGTCACATTTTGGTAACGGTACATCTCGCTTGGAACCTCAGCCGAGGTGGTACTGAAAAAAGTACCAGGTACCAGGTACTGTACCCAGTGGAAACCCCCCCAAAAGTGAGCCGTACCGAACCGCACCGTGCCGTATCCATGCAGTGGAAAAGCACCAATAGAGAGGCACATTCCACAACCTGTCATTTTGGCAGATTGGCTTCAATATATGCTGTTTTTTAGACTAACGAGAAAGTTTTGAGTTCTGAAACTTACGGGATGTTTTTTGAATACAATGAACTCTTATATGTCAAAAGATCAAGGGAATTTTGATTTCTCAGTTCATGACCCCTTTAAGCCATATTAATACACACAATGATCACAAACAGGAACAATTTTATATAATAACATATATATCTATGCCATACAAATATGTTATATATCCTCAAGTCGGGACTCAAACTCGGGTCGCTCGAAGCATAATGGCATAAACATACACACACATTAACATACAGATTTTTGTATGTATGTTGCATATGTAAATAAAATATATATTGTTGACATGGTTGCTGCATATAATATCATATAAAAAATCATCATATATTGTTAACACATGTATACAAATTATACTATGGGTATTTTATATATGTTATACAGTTTAGTACATTTATATCTTCATCTACCTAGATAATTTATATATGTAAAAATTACATATATGGCAGTATCATTCTCGGTATACAGTAGGGCAATATGTCATGTTACATTTCTGTATAGGTTACTTTATTTATTTTTTTCCAAAAAGGAAATGGTCAAAACATACATGGACCACATATCAGAGGACAGATATCATCTGAAATCAAATATTTTCTTTTTGAATGCTTCTTTGCTTTAGGCACAATGGAGAAATGCAGGTCTGGCATGACGACACCGGTTCCTGCAGGGTTTTATTTGAACGATGTCTGGAAGTCTTTTGTATGCAACACTCGACAGTTCAGTCCTGCACAAATGGGAAACTGTCTTAAAAACAAGATTGTCTATTTGATGGGAGACTCCACCACAAGGCAGTGGTTTGAGTTCTTAGAAAGAAACGTGCCAGGCAAGTGTGACTCAGTTTTCAATATTCAATTTAAGACTTGATAGCATGTATATTATTAAACAAGGTACTGACATACAGAGGCCCCACAAAGGATATGGCCACTTAAAGTATTAGTTCACTTCTGAATTAAAATTTTCTGATAATTTACTCATCTCATTTTCTCTTCCAACGTCAAAATCATCCGACATCGTTGTTTTACCTTTTTTTGTAAAGGGCGTTTGAATTTATTTGCACGTTCGCTTTGTAAACACTGGGTCGGTACTTCCGCCTACATCACGTGTGACCTTTCCAACGTGACTACGTAATGCGTGAGAAAATGACCAATTGTTTTGCTAGATAAGACCCTTATTCCTCAGCTGAAGCTGCATTAAAACTGCAATTTGAACCTTCAACCTATTGATCCCCATTGAAGTCCACTATATGGAGAAAAATCCTGGAATGTTTTCCTCAAACCTTAATTTATTTTCGACTGAAGGAAGATAGACATGAACATATTGAATAACATGGGGGAGGTGAGTACATTTTCAGGAAATTTTAGATGAATTAGATGAAAATATAAAAAACTGGTGCACTTTTCAGGCAAATTTGCAAAATGTTATTATGAAAATGGCATATAAAGGTGAAGTTGGTTCTGAAAAAAGCTCATGCAGATCTTGTTCGCAGACGTTACTTGGTTTATTATTTTGTATCTAATGCATTTGTAACACTTCCCAGTGTGCAATAATGAATTCACAGAGGGTGGTTGCACATTTAGGGTGGACTTTATTCTGAAAAATATGAATTAATATTTTTAGTAGCAGTACTGATGTTTAACACGCATTACTCTCACTCTTGAACTCTCTCGAGATTCAGAATTTGTATTAAACATTACATTTTTAACATACAAATATTATCTTCAGCACAAAATTATTAGAACAATATATCTGCTGTATTCTCAATAAACAACATTCGTGTTATCACATGAACTCATGTTAACACATGTGCAAACTTATAAATCAATGCATAACACGGTTAATACAACAGATACTTGCTTCACTTCCTATTCAAACTTATCAGGAAATATACACACAAAATTATAAACATTAACCTTCATCCTTTCCTCAGGTTATTTTGACCCACATTTTTATTTTTAATTTTTTTTGAATTGAGTGTTAATCTGAGCGGTACAAGACTTTTGTCACACTTGAACATGGATCACAAAAAAACAAAAAAAAAACAAGAGTGGATTTGAGAACTTTATGTGGGTGTAAAAAAGTAACAAATCCTTCCCTCTCGGGTCAATTTGACCCGGCATAGGAATTAATCGAATGTCAAAAAACATTTATATTTGATTTTATTTATTTTTTTATACAAAATCTGACACAATCCAGAAACACAAATTATGTCTAAACAAAAGGGCTGAGACTACAGAATATTCTCAAGGCAAAAAACAAAACAAAAACACTTACATACCTCCGCATACGCTCGCACGCACACACACACACACACACACACACACACACACACACACACACACACACACACACACAAAGACACATCATAACACGCATTAAGGAAAACAAGGCAAATAAAAATACACACACACGGGCATATAAAAATAAAATAAAAATAACAACAACAAGAAAAAAATCATATAAAACCCTACATAAATATTAAGAAAAAAAAAATAGGCCTTCGGGTAATTTTGACCTGCCAGGAAAAGATTTGTTACAAAATGTGAGGGAAGGATGAAGGTTAATTTACTACGCTTAGTCTCACACATTTTTCACCAGCTTACTAGTGATATGACGTTCGGCACAGAGGTTTTGAAGCTTGTACCAAAAAAACTAAAGATCTCACAGTGAAGCACTGAGCCAGAGCTCGATTCGTTTTGCCATAACCACATGATCTGACGTCTGAAGCTTCTTTTTCTGCACACAACCACGTGACTGCTTCATATTCTAATTTAAATAACACAAACCCATTGTGCAGGTTTGAAGTGTCATTCACTTCTGTGAAAAGAATAAATCATAATACGAACTACAATTGCATGTATAGTTTAGTGCATGTTCAGTTTGTTTCAATCCCCACTTCAGAAGCACAGCAACTGACCATTTATTTTGAACGCCTACATGAGCCATGCTTAGTTTTTTATTAATTTATTCACAAACTCATTTATTCATACTTTGTGTAAGTACAATGACATTTTTTTTTTTTATTGCTGTAAATGCAGTGTTGGGGAGTAGCTAGCTACAAGTAGCGACGCTACTAACGCAACTACATTTTTCAGTAGCGTGATGGTAGCTCCGCTACTTTTAAAACAGTGTAGCTTTTCCAGTAGCAAACTACTTTTTCTAGCAAGTAGCGGTGTAGCGCGACCAAAAACTACAGTCTGTTTTGCATTCTGACGAGTCACAAACCTGTAATGCATTGAAGCAGCGCAGCGTCTTCTTCTGACTAGATCACAAACTAAATTTGTTCATTACCGCCATCTGCTCTGATATTATGCATCTCGCGGCTTTACAGTCTTTCCACCTACAAGAGACTTCGTCTGATGATTTTGCAAAGGATGTACAGGATTGGATATTTCACATTAATCAACTGTAATTTATGCAAAACAAAGATTAAAATGCGGTATACTGCCTTTTTAGCCTTTTTAAACTGATTAATTTACCTGCTTTATTGCACACTATCAAATGTCTATTTTACAATGATGAACCGTCATAATAGGCTACAATCTGTCCCCCCACAGTTTTGTATTGAACACTAATCAAACAGAAAAAATTGCGATACAGTAGTGTGCTTATCATTTGGCAAAGGATGGTTGCGGTGGGATTCCACTCAAAGTGCAGTGTTCACGCGCGCAGCTGATGATTGACGTCTCAGAGGCTCCATTCACAGTCAGTAAATACTGCATGTGCTGTGAGTTTAACCTGCTTATTTTACGACTCCTCCATATCTAGTTTAAGTTACATTCATTTTGTTCTTGCATTGATGTTACGTTTGTAGCAGTTCTGCACTTTGACAGTCAGTTTGAGATAATGTAACTATATAACTATATTTTATTATTGTGTGTATCGGATAGTTTACAAAATCAAAGGATTGGGGCATTTCGTCATTGAAATGACTTGGAAAAAGTGTCCCAATCAACCTGAATTCACCCTACTCTTTTGTATGTTGTTTTAAACCCCAAATATCTTACTTACAATTTCATTATATTTTACTTAGAACTTTATTGGAATTCTTCATTAACAATTATTCAGTTATTTGCAATATTAAATGTAAAAATAAATAAATAAATAAAATAATAATAATAAAAAAATGAAAGTAGTTTCAATGTAGCTAGCTACTTTTTGATAGTAACTTGTAATGTAGCTAGCTACTTTTTCAGAAGGGTAGCTTGGATGTAGCTTAACTACTTTAATTTACGAGTAGCTTGTAGCTGGTCAAGCTACAATTTCAGAGTAGCTCCCCCAACACTGTTTATATGATTTTCATAGCACAAACTGATTTATTACATGAAACGGTTCAAAAGTGGCTGGAACATCTGGGACGCCAAGGCACCTTTTCCCACCTTTCACCACAAGAAGTCATTAGTGTGCAGCGTCTTGAAAAGCTTTGAGTAATGAATCATTTTACCATACAGTTTAGGGGAAAGCCTTGGAGCTTCGCAAAGCTTCCTTTCACCATCACTAGCAGGGATAGTTCACCCAAAAATGAAAAACACACTTTTTTTTTCAAAGCTGTATGACTTGCTAAAGCTACGATTATAATATTATTTTCATGTATCTTTATCAGGCATAAAGAGAATGGACCTCCACCCTCCTACTGCAGGTGGCCCACTGATGGCTGTGGAGTTGAAATATAACATCATTATTCACTGGAGGCCACACGGTGTTCCTTTGCGATTTAGTAAAATGCCTATTACTGATCTGCACTATATCAGCAACGATATTGATGAAATAGCCGGTGGGCCTCATGCAGTCGTTGTCTTCACATTCTTTGCTCACCTGGTTTTTCACCCGATAACATTTTACGTGTATGAAGTGGCCAAAATCCGCCAGTCTGTTGTTGCACTGCTGAGCCGCGCTCCAGAGACCACCATCATCATCAAGTCTGGAAACACTGCTGGACAAAAGGTGCCTTTGCTCACTTTCCAATCCTACCTTGTTTTCAACAAGAAAATACAGTATGGTACTTGTTATGGTATTTGTTGTACATGAAAGTCTACAGTTTTGGGGAAACTTACTTTCAAAAGTAATGCATTACAATATTGTGTTACTCCACTAAAAAGTAACTAATTGGATTACTTAGTTACTTCTTATGAAACATAATGCATTAAGTTTCTTCTACTTTTGTCGTCTGGGCTGAGCTTGCTTAATTGTCTTTAATAACACAAAGCCCAAAGGTTATTTTTGGCAACATTTCACACCAAAAGTAAAATTAATAAGCCTTAGGTTGAAGGAAGTGCATCTGCACCTCACGTCCAATTTCTCTCAACACGGGACAGGAGAGGTGTTAGTGAATAAATGGGGAAAAAGTAACTTGCATTGCTTGTTTGAAAAAGTAACTCAGATATTTTGTTGTACATTTGAAAGTAATGCGTTACTTTACTAGTTACTAGTAAAAAAAAAATCTGATTACAGATGTGGCCATTAAGAATGCGCTTTTTTTTTAATCACGCGGCAGCCTGCAATTCACCATTCGTGATCACGGGGCTCTCTGCAGGCACTTTTTCAGATTTTTTAAAGGGGTCATATGATGCTATTTCAATTTTTCCTTTCTCTTTGGAGTGTTACAAGCTCGGTGCATAAAGAAGATCTGTAAAGTTGCAAAGACTAAAGTCTCAAATCCAAATAGATATTCTTTATAAAAGTTAAGACTCAGTCACGCCTACCTAAAACGGCTCGTTCTAACATGCCCCCACATACCTACGTCACTATGTGGGAAGATTTGCATAATGCCGCCCAAATGTTCACGCAAAGAAAGAAGGCGTAACTTTTATTCTCGCTATAGTATTG